CAAAGAAGGCGAGATGCCTGTCTCCCTCCCTTGCTTTCGCTTTGCGCCGCGTTGCTGCTGCTGCTGCTGCTGCTGCTGCTGTTGCTGTTGCTGTTGCTGGCTGCTCGCCGCTGCCCGCCACTGCTCTGATGCCTGTGTCTGCAGCCTGCAGGCTTAACTCTCTTTCCTCTTTCGCTTTACACCCTCTCCCCCTATACCGTGACCCTTTTCTCTCCCAATCTCTTTTTCTCTTTCGCTCGCTCTCTCTGACTCTTCCTCTCTCTATCCTCCTCTCTCGCTCTCGCTGTTCTTGCTGTACCCTATATTCTTTTCTATTCTTGCTCTATCATCTAGCTCTGACGGCACGTTCGCCCGACAGTGGAAAACATCGGGAAATATCGCGGAATCGCGACCTTCTGACTTTTCGCGCCGAGAGCTTTTTGGGAGCTTTGAGTTCTGTCTTTCGGCGGTTCTATTATCGTGTATGTATGTAGAATTCGGCAACACTGTATTGAATATATTACTTCAACACACAGTATCTTTCACACAGAACTTTTCAGGTTTTAGAATGTATTTTGTGAGATAATTTTTATGCGAATCTATATTATAAGAAATAATTTTATTTTTCTCATATCGATTAAAGTGCAATCGCATATTCTTCCGAAAATAATATATTTTGATGAGCATATATCTAACTTATATATCTGCTTTAGTCAAAGTTCATTTATATTCACGTCTATCTCGTTTTAATATTACAATCCGCATTATATTATAGAAAATTTTATATTTAAATATTACTATTATCATTATAATGATTAAGGTAAAATTTTCTGCTACACAACTGCTACCAGATATAATCGATGTGACTAATTCTGTATCTTAGCGAGATGAACTCGCAGATCACCGAGGAATTTATCTTAGAGATCACCAGTATGTAAATCCGTTCTTAAGAGTGCCCGAAACGACGGGAAGTCGGGAAGTCGAGACTTTAGCTACGCGAAAGTGGAAAGACACGCGAGTAGAGAGAAAGGGACGACGAGGAGAGAGGACGGTGCGGCGGTGTAGTCCCATAATTGAATATATTTAAGCGCGGGAGGGACGTTTGTGCGGATTCTCTCGGCTTACAAGAACCCCATGCCGAGGTAACGTCTGCGAGTAAACTGGATTAATCGTCTATGAAGGGAGAGACCGTAACCCCGCCGCATTCGTTTGCAATCAGATCCCTCCGGGGAAACGCGAAACAACACTACTCGTTGTAGCGCGCGGCCTTGTTTCCACTGCAATTTTATATCGATCACTGGTAAGCAACTACGGAGAGATCATTGGTTCGAGGGGGCATGCTCCACATTTTAAAGTGAATCAACAATAATTTCGGTGAGAATATATGATAGAAAAAAATGTGAAACGAGCGTGAAATAATTATCGTTCCTTTTTAAAACTTTTTTTTTTTACAGATTTATAGATATTTTGACGGTAAAATTATATTATGTATTTCGTATGTTATCTTAAAACTTTAGAATAAATTGGGATTTGCAATAATCTGAAAATAAAATAAAACTTTTTCGAAAAATGTTACTACTTTATAAGTAATTGGCATTAAAATTAGTGAAAATTATCAATGTTTATCGGTATAACTGGAAATAGTTATAATGTAATACATTCTAATTATGTAATAATATAATTATCAAAGAGAATTATACTGTTATATGATTCTTTTTGTTTTGTATTAGAAGCATATAAGTAGTTCAATATTATTTGTAACAGGATATTTATTAATTATATCTTATAATATATTAAATATTATTTGGTAATTGTAAAGTTCATTTGTGAATGAAAAAAACACATTAAGACGAAACATTATCTTTTAGAAGAAATTAAGTGTTTAATTTATCTTTCCACAAACTTTGCTCTTTCTAACATAATCCATAGAAAACATAGCGAGATTTCTCACGAATTCACTATAAAAGACATGTTGTAATCAGACATGATGTCTGTCACGTTCGGCTTACAATGACTAAAGTGTCTTTTTTGATCCACGATACGCCGAGGAAATAAATGAGCTAATCTACACGCAATCTGCCCGTCTTATCTGGATGATTACACATTCGAAGGATTCGCAAAAAAAATAAGCAAATATTTTCTTTTGATGACAAATATATCGATGATCTATCTAAATTAATTTGATGTAATGACATTGTGCGTTAACTAATCCTATTACCAATTACTATCCTTTTCTAATTTACAGATTCATTACATAAATAAAGAAAAAAATTTATTTAACAAACTTAATAATTAATTTAAGATATTAAATTAAAAAGTAATTCCGTTTATAACCAGAGAATTGTAGATAATGAAAAATGATTTGTGAGATTATTGAAAACTATTTCAATCATGCTATTTCAATTTTAAACGATTCCGTTTGAGGTTTTCAGATTTTCAATTTCTCGCTCCAAGATCGTCAGAGCGAAACCGCTGTTGCGGGATTTTATTTCGTCTACAGCACCCTTGGGATATGCCACGGGGGTGCGTGACGGCGTGCAAACTGTTTGACTACCAGTTGCGCGCTCCCAAAAGGCTCGTTTTGCAAGTCGTAAACGAATTAAAGCCTTCGAATCGCCGCCACGGCCGTCTCCGCTGTCATGCCGTATTCAGTCATCGGGGAGAAGTTTCGAAACCGTTTTTGATTCACATTCCGGTCGTCCATCGTGCACAACTTGTGGCATCAACGCGAAATCATTCACGGCCATGCCGATTAGCAATATGCCGATTTCGATTTTGATGTCTTGATGTCTGCTGAATTGAGCATATCTCGTAATTTCGTTCGTTTCTCGTAAATTTACAATATGAAAGGTTACATACTGAAAGATGATTTGTTGAAAAAAATCCGAAGATTGCGTTGATAATTCATTATTTGTATTGTAGGAATTTTAAAATTAAAATATTTAAAATAAAGGAAAGTCAAACTGTTTTGAGATATTGTTTATATAAAACTATGTTTAATTTAGTGTTTTATTAAATCATAATTTATTATTATGATTTTTTTAATATTGCAATAAAATAATATATACAATATTACTGACACTATAGATTCTCTTCTGTCGTCATCGCAAGCATAATGGTTAGTGCATTATAATTTTAAATTGTAGCGTTCCCCAAATTCCAAATGTGACAACCAGCCGATTAAATA